TAAAATTCGCCTTAATCTCTCGTTGGCTGGCAGCTTTCCATTCCCAATGTCCAGTCTTTGTCGCGAGAATACCTCGGCTGCCGTGTATATATGTTCGTCTTGTCACAATGCTGACTATTTCAGGAAAGCATTTATCTATTGTTACTCAAGAAATTAAAGATAATGTGTGCATAAAATCCTCTGAGAGCAATATCAATGCATTCCCGAATGGCTGAACCTTTCCATGCAAATCCCACGACAATCGATCAAACCTCAAGCAGTTTTTTATGTGCCATCTTGCACTCATCCCATATAATTATTTTAAATTTTTTTACTATGTTTTCCATACCGCATGTTCTGGATATATTGCAAGTGGGAGTTTCGAAGATTTATATCTTCACTGGCAGGTTAAGAGCTGAATTAGTAATGTTTCCACCTGGTAGCGATTCCAGGCGAAGCGATAGCTAAGGTTATGTAATTTTTTGAACGAACCGTTGGCATAATCACTCTGATAAGGAATGTTTTAGTAGTTCCTCCTGGCGCATCAAGAAGAAGGTCCCCTAACTCGGTCAATTATCATTTGCATATTCTTTCTCTTATTTGGCGCTGTAAATGCCTAAGCCATTTTGGCCGAGATCGACAAAGAACGCCAGTCTTTTCTCTCTGTACCAACTGACGACAATTGGAAATGCCACGTGAAGTCAAGTCCTTCTCCACTTGGTCTCTCCCTCTTCCTCTGCTACCACCAGTGGATTGCAAGTTGAATACTTTCAGAACTGGAACGTCGCTTTCCGTCTCATCGAATGTTGTCATTGTCTAAGCTTCTGCGCCATTTACCAGCTCGGACATGATGACTGACTTATAGAAAATGGTTTTTGTACGTCCAGCGAGAACTTTACTCCCGAATTTCCTATTCAGTCCAAAGTTCCAATTGTTGGCAAGAGTGATTCTGTGTGGGTTTTCCATGCTGATATTATAATCGGGGTTAATGCTGGCTCCCAAGTAAACGAAATTCTCTACTTTCTCGAAATTACAACTGGCAACAGGGATGTGGGTGTCAAGGCGGGAATGCTCTGACTCTTGTCTTCGTTGATCACCAAACTCAATCGCTTTGCTTCGAAGTTTTTGTTACCGATGATATCGATGTCATTGGCATACGCCAGAAATTACACGCCCTTGTAAAAAATTGTTTGGGCATATAACAGGAGTTCACAATAGTAATAGTAATCATAATCATAATAATATTATCTATTGTTATTCAAAATTTCTTTACTCGCAATATACTTAGTAGGCTTTGGCGACCGAACGAAATTGTTTATGATTAAAATTTAACTGTTTTATAATGTAAAGGAATGGTGACAACAATTTTAAGTTTTCATTATTTCATTTCATAGGATATTTTTATGTTTTCGTTACGCTTTTTATCATTTTTTCATTTATATCAGCAGCTTTTTATTAATTTTTTTCATTGCGTTATTTGTATACCAAATCTGCATTGATAATATGATCACGTCGTTTGATAAGATATTGTAAATTCTCTCTTTTTTTAAACTGTCTGGATTTGGATAAGAGAAAACATTAAAAAAAATTCTCTGATAAAGCTTTCCCAATCACTTTCCGTTTCGAATCAGTTATGTAATATTTCATTTAATTTCAATATTTTCAGTTTACTTTTACATATTGCATAATCCTATTTAGAATATTGGCCAATCAAGACTTCTCAAATACCATTCGTTTGGTACCCATATTGTAACATTTCATTGATTTCATCAATTTAATTGAGTTAAATTTCAAACAGATGGCAAACCTCCTCAAACCTATTTTCGACTGTAAGTCGTCTTAAAACTAGTTATTTAGTTTGATACCCACATTGCAATAATTCGTTTATTTAATCCACTTAACTGAGCTAAAATTTTCAAGCAGGTTGCAACCCCCCTCAAAAATATTTCCAGCAGTAATGTTTTTTAAACCTCTTTAATTTGATACTTGTATTGTAAAAAGTTATCTATTTTATCTATTAAATTTAGTTAAATATTCAAACAGGTAACAACCCTCCTCAAAAATATTTTAGGCCGTAAGCCTTCTTAAAACTCTAAAGTTTAATACCCTCCTACAAAATATTTCCAGCAGTTATCTTTCTTAAACCTCTTTTATTTAATATCTATATTGTAATATATCATTCTTTTATCAATTAAATTGCGCTAAATTTTTTAACAGATGGCAACCCTCCTTCAAAATATTTTCACCTGTGAGCCTTCTTTAAACTCTTTAGTTTGATACCCACATTGTAATATTTCATTTACTTTATCAATTTAACTGAGTTAAAATTTTAAAATAGGTGGCAACCCTCCTAAAAAATATTTCCAGTAGTTGTCTTTCTGAAACCTCTTTAATTTAATATCTATATTGTAATATATCATTTAGTTTATCAATTAAATAACGCCTCCTCAAAAATATTTGCAAGAGTTATCTTTCTTAACCCTCTTTAATTTGATACCAATATTGTAAGATTTCATTTATTTTATCAGTGTAATTTAGTTAAACTTTAAAACAGGTGGCAACCCTAATCGCACATATTTTCGGCTGTAAGCCTTCTCAATATAATTGGGTTTAAAAATTTTCAAATAGGTGGCGGTTCAGCCGTTCTCGAGTTTTGACGACCGTGACATACGAACACACCATTTTTATATATATAAATTCAAGGCCTTTAAGGTATAAGTTCGTTAATTTGGTATTTAAGCCTCTTACATTTTGGTAATAAATACTTAAGGCAGATTTAATAATTAGTTTTTTGATTCAGTGTTATGACGGGGAATATTAGCTAAGTTATTTCCCTTTTTGGGCCTATATTCGAATTCACGAACGAAAGCTCCGGGGGGCCAAAAAGAACTACTAAGCAGCGCATTAAAGTTATCTAAATTTTCGTAAATTTTAAATGAAGCAATATTTCTTTCGTATTTAAAATTAAATTTTCTGATTCTTAAGTCGACAGTTGTAATTTTTTATGAGATATAAAGCTTTATATCGTCTTCGGTAGTGTCTCTCGACAATCTAGAGACAAAGATTGACTTCTTTGGTGGAACTACAACTAGTTTCCTTGTATCAGACTGGAGTACCGGCGGAAGGGGTTGAGTTACAGCGTTAGTATTTGAGGATAGGGAAGGCGGTGGAGGCTTTGAAGATGATGCCACCACTTCAATGGGGGAAGGGGAAGATACTTCAGGCTCGTTATTATCCGAAACAGATTTCGTTACACGTTACAATTCCTTCATTTTCTGCAGGAGCGTCATTAGGTAAACTGCATTTCCAAAGATTTTTTCAAACTAAATAGCGATGAGGGATATTTCACCCACCGGTGATTAAAAAAAAAACGCAATAACCACAACGCTCAACACTAATATTACCATTCACAATCACGTTTNCTTCATTTTCTGCAGGAGCGTCATTAGGTAAACTGCATTTCCAAAGATTTTTTCAAACTAAATAGCGATGAGGGATATTTCACCCACCGGTGATTAAAAAAAAAACGCAATAACCACAACGCTCAACACTAATATTACCATTCACAATCACGTTTACTTTCAAAATTGCAATTCAGAATTTCGTTTTGTACCAAATCTGAAATGTAGGTATGTCCATTTACTTAACGCAATAAATGTAGGTATGTCCATTTACTTACTTAAATCAAAGTGCCAGAGACTTCAGCGTTTTGTACAAAAAGTGTTTTTGATGTTGAAATTGTACTTAAAATCGGTAAATTGTTCTTTTGTACTTTTTAAAACTAATTGTACTGAAAAAGTACAATTGTACTTAAAATATAAACACTGCTCTGTATGTATGTACTTACTTTCAATCTAGCTGTACGCAGAAGCCAACTCGTCACAACATACTTTTCGGACGGCCGTTCTCAGAAATTTTGCGGGTCCGTCACCACTGTTTTTGCAATGAATTCTTTCTGAAGAAGTGATCGAAAAAGACTCAGTAAGTGGTTTTTATTAAAGTAATCTTCCAAATGCTAGATGGGTCGTCACTGTTTTTGATTATTCGAAGACAGTGCATTGGACAATTCGGTCACGTCTTGGTTAATTTGGGAAAAGGGACAATACATAATCGCAAAAAAAGTTCCCAAATTAGCTGCTATAACTTCTACCGCTTAGACTTTGTTGCTTTTTCCATTTTTCCTCACAAAAGCCCAATAACATTGCTTAAAAATAAATATTATTACGCCACAATAATAATAACAAAAAGTAATAATAATTAAAAAAGTAAACAAAAAGTAATAATAAGTAATAATTTAGAATAACTATTCAAGAATTTGTAATCCTAATTTTCATGAGTATTCAGAATCATGCAAAATTTTCTGGATTACAAGTCATCAAAATGTAATCGTAATCCTAAGTGCCCAGCTCTGTTTAGAAACCGCAATCCGATTTTTAAAATACCGATAACTCATTTAATTTCAGTTTTCATTTTAGATTTCATAACGCCATTTCTAATACTATTTTTCAAAATGTTTAATGAGTATTTCTTAACGTTCTTACAGATAACAAGATTAATTTCGTCATATACGCAGAATTTAGTCAACCATTACAACATTCTTGAGAGAATCGTGAGTCTATTAGAAGACTTTGATATATCGAAGGAGGTAAGTATTTAATAAATAAATATTGTTAGTGTTATATTTATAAATTTAAGTAGGACTAATACTTCAGTCACATATCCACGAAGATCAGGCTTAACTTCCAGAAATTTTCCTCGAAAATCTCATGGAAGTTATGTCATAACTAACTTCCACAATAATTAGATCGCCGGAGAGGGGGAGCGCCATCCATTATCTATATACATAATACGCGAAGGCATTTTTTGTTCCGCATAAAAGATCTGCACCGTTCTTTCGATTTACAAAAATGCGCTTGGGCTGTAGATGTGCAAATTGGTTTTGCTGCCACCTTTTAAAAAAATTATATTAAAATTATTTAAAAAAGTAAATCAATTTTATAAACTGGGTTTCAATCGAAATGTTTTGAAAAGCTTTGCTTCTTAGCTCAACTAGAGAAGGGTTGCCACCTGTTTAAAAAATCATGTTAGGTAAGATAATTTATTATATAATATATAAATATATGCGAAGGGATTTTTTCTCCAGTATAAAAGATCTGCACCTTGATCTAGTTACTACCGGACTAGTTGGTTTTTCGCGATAAAGACCTAGTACTGAACTAGAAATTTGATCCTCTAGTCCGCGGTTTCCCTGCAGGATGGGAAGACTTTTCTATTACTTCTACTACTGACGACAATGCATATGTATATGTATATGTGCAATTATAGCGTAATTTCTTAGAAAAGCGAAAAAACATCTTCCATACAACATCCTAAACAGTTTTCAGGCTGTTGTGAGTGATCGCGAGTGGAGCACCCGCATTGTTTATCTCATTTATGTAGGTGCCCACCCAAAACTCTTACAAAATAAAATTTTATGAAAAACGTACGTATTTACGAAATATCTGGTATTCAGGGAAATCCCAACTAAACCACACAACTCCGCACTTAGCGAAATGCAGTTTGAAGAAAAATTCACTACCTGCTACAACTCTAAAATGGACGAAATCATGTGCTCCATTTCCGTAAATATCTCTAAAGCATACTAATAGTGGAAAATAAACAAAAGGTAGGTAGAAAGTTGCTGCAATATTGTATCTACATACATACTTCAGGCTAAAAGGCTCACAAGTAAATTTTTTCGTCTTTCCAAGGTCGTAGTAAAACCAACGCTTAGCTATTATTTGATTATTGCTGCAAAATTTTTGCTCATTCTGCGCTCTTCAGTAAATAACTATGCACTTATATAAGTACATGCATATAGATCACACTATCCCACACATGCGCTTGTGTGCGAAGCAGCGAAGTTTTGCTCAACAGGCAGTGCTCGGACTTTGCCACATTTGTGGAATAGATAACACTTTTTTTTTTGCTAAATTACATTTCTGCTACTTCTAACACCGTAAACTAAAAAACTTTCAGATCTTGAAACTTTTTTTTTTAATTTGTTCATTTGCGCATTAATGAATGGGCATTTTCTACAACAAAAAACAACATTCCATGCTGCGACGTCGACACATGTATGATATGATCGCCTTCGTGCGTCTTACGATAATTGACGATTGACTGATGCTTTGCTAGCACTTCGGCAAAGCAAATCAAATCAGTTGCTGCTGAGACTTCGCTGCGCAACTATTCAAATAATACACACATAAAATGTTTCGGGAGGAATGGGAAATAATTTTTTTTTGCATAGAAAACATGGATGGGTGTGCGCAATGCGTGATCTGCTATCGCGTTATGAGTCGCAATGTTATGTTTTGTTAAAAAAGAGATTACAAACTGTGTCATAGTCATTTTGAAAAGGTGAAAGAGGGTGATCGAACACTGAAGCTTTTAGAATTAATAGCAGCGTTCTTTATTAAATTTATGGTTGGTGAAAGTAATATACATCAACACGAAAATTATCAATGTCTATCAGAAAATGATTCTCTATCAGAAAATGATAGATCATTTCTAAAAAAAGCATCTTATTCTGTCGCTTTGGCTTTTTATTTAGAATTTCTAGAAAAGTTTTAGGTACGCAATTTTATAGCCCATTAAAATTTAGTAGCTCAAAGTGCAAATTTCAAGAGCTAAGAAATCGTGTTGATTTTGAATGATTGGCAATTTCTTTTATATGGAAGAAAATGCCTAGCGCCGTCAGCAAAGAAAAGATAAACATTAAATAAACATAAAATATAAATAGCCAAAACTGGTCAGCATGTCACTGAACTTAATCAGCTGACCATAAGTGCATATAACATATTTATAAACTTATTTATTTGAATCTACCACATTGTGTTGGAATGTACCACAATTTTTCATTCTTATTTACCACTAAGAAAACTGTGCGTCCGCGCACTCGTCAACAGCAAATGATTTGATTTGCTTTCCTGAAATACCAGCGAAGCATCATTCAATCGTCAATTATAGTATACATGTGTCGACGTCGCAGCAAGCAGCATTTTGAAGCCCGATTACATGTGTTTGGAAAATCAAAAAATGCCCGCCTCTGATATAGATACACACATATATACATACATATGTATGTGTGCATGTCTAGAGTTTGGCCACCTGGCAAGAAATTGTAAAAGCATTCACGATTCGAAAGGGGCATGCTTCAATTGCGGTGATATAGGCCATAGAGCCAACGTATGTAAGAAGGAGAAACGGTGCGTAATCTGCTCCAGAAACAAAAAGCCAGACGTAAGGCACAGGACAGGCGGAAGAGACTGCCCGTACTATGTAGAGGCGATACAAAAATCCCGGACATCATGAAGGTCTTGCAGCTTAACCTAAACCATTGCAAAGCTGCACAGGAGCTATTGGAGCAGACGGTGATTGACCAAAATGTTGACATAGCGCTACTAAGTGAACCATACAAGGTGGGGGACTGCCAGCAATGGGCCCAGGACGATGCCGGTCGAGCAGCGGTGTGGAGCTGCGCCATAACGCCCCTTCACATGAAACAACTCAAGGCAGACGTAGGTTTTGTATGTGTTCGAGTCTCTGGATTAGTCGTATATAGCTGCTACATACCGCCTAGTTTTACCCTCGATGAATTCGAAGCCGTCATGGATAAGCTTACCTTTGATGCCCGGACTAGATCACCCGTATTAATAGCCGGCGACTTCAATGCTTGGGCCTTGCAATGGGGAAGCCGGCGAACTAACGCCAGAGGAAGAGCTCTATTTGCAGCACTATCGTCTCTGGATGTGGCATTATGCAACTCGGGTACCAAATTTACATTCAGCAAGGATGGGGTGGGGTCCATTATTGACCTCACATTTATCAGCAGCAGGCTGTTTCGACACACGTCTTGGGAGGTTAGCGACGAGTACACTCAAAGCGACCACATGGCTATCATTTTCTCGATACAGGAGGAGAGAGAAAGCAGAAAAGTCAGTGCAAGAGCAACAACTCTCTAGAAGATCCCTCAGCATATCGTCCTATATGCATGTTGGATACGACGGGAAAGTTGTTCGAACGCATAATCAGCGATAGATTGTTAGAAGCAACCGAGGAAAAGACACAGTTCGGCTTCAGAAAGGGGCGGTCAACAGTAGATGCAGCCAGTTTAGTAAAGCAGTTGGCGGAAGATGCAATCAGTGGCGAAAGGTGGAAGGGAGGAGGAAAGGAGTACTGTTTGCTTGTCACCCTCGATGTAAAAATTGCGTTCAACACAGCAAGTTGGAAACACATAAACGCCGCTCTACGCATATTCGAGGTACCCGCATACCTTCGGAAGATTGTAGACAACTACTTAGCAAATAGAGTGCTACTGTACAATACGGAGAACGGTGTCAAAGAACACAAAGTCTCGGCTGGAGTACCACAGGGTTCGGTTCTGGGTCCAATACTTTGGAATATCATGTACGATGGTGTACTCCGACTATCCTTGCCAGAACGAGTGAAAATTGTTGGATTTGCTGACGACATAGCGAACCCAACACACTTCTACATTTGTAGTGCTATGCGTTGCGAACAGAATCCTTATGTGGCAACTTCATGCAACGCCAAGTATGCATAACTTAGCTATTAGCCTGTCAAAGTTTTTGCGATATTGAAAAAAGTAATTTAAGCCATGAAGAAATGTATAGATGAAGTCTTAAAATAGTGGTATGTTTCCACAGTTTGAAATAATATAATATATATATATAATAATACTACACTCAAACGAAGCAACCTGAGGGGATCCCAAGTATGCATAAAGATTGCTTCCTGGCGCAAAGAGTAGTGATGTGCTGAATTATCGGTACCCAATACTTAAAAAAGATTTCGGTATTCAATACTTCCTTTTCGGTACCCGATACCTATTTTTTTACATTAAACCTTCGCCCTTATATTATTTATTATTTATTTTTAGTCTACAGAAAAATGTTTTCTTACAGACAGTTGAGATAAAAAGATTTAGAATATTTAAGTATGTGTGATACATTACAGAGTGAAATAATTATAAATATTAACTTGTAAAGATAACAATGATATTCAATAGCAATTTGGGTAGCTGGCGAGGCCTTGTCTCCAGTCTACTTTTGTGTGCGGCGGGCGGAAAGACCTAGTTTCCGCTCCGCCCTGTTTACAGGCCGTTGATCATGGTCGGAAAGGCCGAGCTTCCGATCCATGTTCCCGTAGTCGTTACTTTGTAAGTGAGGCAGGCGGAAAGTCCTAGTTTCCGCTCCACGCTATAGACGAACTGTTGGGCGAGGTCGGAAAGGCCGAGTTTCCGATCCCTGCTCCTATTGTCCTACGCGGTCGCGGAAATATACGAAGCCNTGATGAGGAGATGTGGTGATCTCCGAAATAGTGCTATAACTTCTACCGCTTAGACTTTGTTGCTTTTTCAATTTTTCCTAATAAAAAATAATAATTTTTGGGTGCTCCAGGACGAATAAGTATTGAAAATGTCCTTTTAAAACTTTATCCTTGAATATCCTTGGAAATTTCCAATATTTATTTTTGAAAAAAATATATGTCGAGGACTAATATGTATACTACCACATCCTCGAATTTCGTCCTTCTAACTTTACTAGTTATAGATAAACAAATTTTACACTTCTCTTTCTA